CACAGTCAATCTGCACCGGTCAGCGTTCCGGCACCGAGAGAGCGCCCAGAGCGAGCGCTGGCCCATCCAGCTCTCCGGTCCCCAGGCGCCTCCCCTCGCCCCGCCTCGTAGGCGTGACAGTTGCCAGAGTCTCAATGGGGGTTGGAACTTCCAGAACCAAGCTGGGATGGCTACCCACTACAAGGTATGGTTTTATTGGGGGAAGTTTGTCACTGGGGGTGGGATTTGAGGTTCTAAAAGTCTATGCCAGGCCCAGTATCTCTCTCAATCTCTCCCTCTCTCTCTCAGCATCAGGATATAGCTCTCAGCTACTGCTCCAGCACGATTTGTACCACCATGCTCCCTGTCATCATGATAATAGATTAAGTCTCTAAACCCACAAGCAAGCCTCCAATTAAATGTTTCCTTTATAGGAGTTGCCTTGGTCATGGTGTCTCTTCACAGCAACAGAACAGTAGCTAAGACAGTGGGGTTCTAGAGGTTCCAGATACAGGTTGATCCCAACACAGCATCAATGCAGGAAAAAAATACAAAAAGGAAAATCAATTGTTTTTGAAAGTTTGTGTGTATGAAAATGTCATAATGAGACACATTATTTTAAAAAATGTTTTTGAAAAAAATCTTAAACAATAGCAAAAGAAAGTCTGTAAGGCTATTCATTTAAGAGTCAACCCTGACATATATTTTTTTATTTAAAAAAAAAAAAAGAATCAGGGTGTTGTGAGGATATCTTTCTCCAGAGCTGATGATGCTCCGAGCTCCTTGTCAGACATTTGAAAGACCCGGGAAGACTTGATAAGCTGTTGCAGTCCCTTTAGCGGACAATCGAGATGGCCTTGCACACCTAGGGGTTCTGTGCTCTCAACTCCTATTCAGTCAATGTTGTATTGAAAATGTTAATTTTAAAAATCATCTGAAATCTAGGAGTGGCAGAGCTTGCCTGTAACGCCAGCACTTGGAAAGCTGGGGCCAATAGAGCCCGATTTCCAGCCCAGCTTGGAATACAGTAAGACCCTTCTCAAACAACAACAACAAAAAACTATAGATAGAAGTTTTTGTCCCTCAAGTAGCTCCCAAACAAACACACTAAGGCTTATATTAATCACAAATTCTAGGCCAACAGCTCATGCTTATTACTAACTAGCTCTTACAACTTAAATTAACTCATTTCTATTAATCTATGTATTGCCACATGGCTCATGGCTTTACCTGTCCTCCAGCACATCTTGCTCCCTCTGTGTCTCCTGGCAAGACCACTGACTCCACCCTTCTTCCTCCCAGCATTCTCAGTTTGGCTGTCCTGCCTATACTTCCGGCCTGGCTACCAACCAGTCAGTTCTTTATTAACCAATGAGAATAAAATATATTCACAGTGTACAGAAGGATTATTCCACAGCATAAAACAACCTACAGGAGTGTCTTACTGAATTTTTCCTTGCCCTTAAATAATACAATATAACTTTCATATAACATTTACATTGTTTTAGGCATTATCCATAATGTATATGTGTGAGGAAGATGTATATAGGTTCTGTAAAAATACAGCATTTACACAAAAGACTTGTAAGTAACCCCAATAAACTTGTTGGTTCACCAGATTAGATTGTGGTGGGGAGAGGGGGCTAGAGCCCATCCCTCAGAATAAAGATACACTATACCATGTGCTATGTGATGATTTGCCCCAGATTAGAATATTCTGTACTGGGGGGAAATTCATTAAGACTCATTAGGTCTTAAAGACTAGGGAACTTCTTGGGAGAGACTCCTTAAGACTCAGGAAGTAAACAACTCAGAAACCTCAGGAAGTCCCTAGAACCAATCAAATGAACTAGCCCCACCCTCCCACCCCACTCCCCAGAACAAATAAACAATAAGGACTGCTGGGAGAAATGTAGCCCAACCAATCTGCCTGAAAGAAACACTCTCCAACCTGGTGAACTGCCTGCAGGTTGAGTAATGAGCTGTAGGGAGATCCAGGGTTCCAGCATTCCTGTGCCTTCCATGCTGGGGCAGGTTTTCAGTGGCGCAGCTTCCTCT